ATACGGCTGCTCGCCTGGGTGTCGTCTTGAGCTAGTGACGCGCTTCTATTGTTCGGTCGTTAATTATCGCTTGGTAATTAACGGATTGTGATTTATGCAACCAACTGAGAGTGCGATAAGGCGATGGCCTTTGTTCTTCGTGCCGCAGAAATGACGTGTCGCGTGTGCCCGTATACCAGGATAGCAGAATCACCTTCCGTTTCCAACGTTGAAGATGGCGATGCCTCGTCAATTACGCCTATCGCTTATCGCGAATGCGTTATTCCCGCAAAACGTTCGCGAGAGCGTATAAAAAATATGAGAATTAATTAAGTAATTTTACTGCAAATTTATTGCAAGTATGTAAAAAGTGACTTTAATATATTATGTTTGATTAGTTTCCCGCGTAAAAATAACACACTATATTGCATACGATACTAAAATGGATATAAATGTGCAGTATAGTGTCATTTTTACACGGAAAATTAAAAAACACACATATTAAAATTTATTACTCCCTTGATGAAAATAAAAATTGGAGCGTAAATCCGGATATAATGGGAGAATAATAGAAGCGTAAACGAAACTTCTATACTGAAAAAAAAAAATTTTAATTTCAAAGAAATATTTCTTTGCAATTTATTGTACACTACCGTATTTTCAAAGAAATTTTCATTGAAATAATTCCAAAGAAATAATTTTTTTTAATATGAGCAAAGAAATAATCCTGCATTCGTTCACGCAGAAGTTATTTTATCCTTGTTGTTCACCGAGTGTTAAACAAAGTTTAAATGATACTCTTTGCGCTAACCGCTGTGTAAACGAATGCACTCATATTTCTTTGAAATTAAAATTATTTTTCAGTATAGAAGGAACAATGAAATGTAAAAGAAACATTTATTCATCATCAGGGCCTCACGTACAATCGCCTTTAATATCTAGTTTATTCTATTTTATTCTATTTTATGGAAGATTCAAATTTTTCAATCTATGTATCTCGCACTGGCAGAACGAAAGGAATCCTATTTGATTGTAAATGTGAAAGTATGGAATGTTTTGTGAGATGGTAAATGTATAAAGACGAATAGTAGTACGAGAAAACGTCTGACATATTGGAAGAATTTAGCATGTGCCAAATATATCACATATACCAGCCTACTCATTCTGATGTGTTCCTGACGCTCGATGTGTCTTCCGCATATGAGGTACTGAATAACGAAGCGATTCATCGTGTACGATAGATATTAAACCAATTCAAGGGACAAAAGAAACGTGTATCCTTCTTAAATGAGACTTTATTTTTCACAATCTAAACGCAACAATATCGCGAAAGAGTAGAAAAATCAAAATATGCCTTTGTAATATGTCCTCTGATATGCAGGGACAAAGTTCTCTATTTAATTATAAAAGAAAGAATCAGAGAGAGCCTAAGAGAGTGGAAAACATAGGATTTTACATAGCGAATTCAAATAAACATATATTGAATAATTACATATATATTTAATTATATATTTTAAAAATATGAAATATTTGTAGTATATAAATATAAACATATTATTATTTATATTTACATAATATAAAATAGATCAAAATATATAACCATATATGAATAACTTGTATATATACTAATTAAACAACTACTGGACAAATGACATAAAAATCGCGAGGTATCGTAGGTATCTCGTGTGAAATTCATGTCGGAGGAAGAGCGAGAGGGAAAAAGTGGGAATTAAAAAAAATAGACATTATTATGTCGCGTGTTCCCGCAAGGCTATTTCGCTAGAATCCATGACCTTGCATCGATCAAGCGCAGTCCGCAACCTGTTGCGCTCGCCGAGCTCGTCGAGCGTGAGGCAGGTCAGTGCTTACGAGCGATCCGTTTATCAGAGTTGCATGAGGGGACTTCGCGCTGCGCTGCCGGTTGCAAATCCCTCCTCGCCGCGCCGCGCAGCGGTACATACATGTGCAGATCTTACCGTGCGTTCCGCGAAGACGCGACGCACGGTACGTTTCGCGCGTCAGCGGCGGCAACGATGGTCCGGTGGTGGCGGTATATCCACCTTCACCGGGATCATACTGCTCGCGTAGAAAGGGAGTAACGCGGAGTGGCCGCGCTGCGCATCGTTCGCCCCACTACCTCCGAGACGCGCTCTTAAACATTCAAAACGCGCCAAACGCCGAAGAAGCGCGACATGCGCACGCCGCACGGCAATGCGCCTGACGTGACGACGAGAAGCGCGTGAGCAGTGCAGGAGCCGCAGGACGTGCGCGATGCGACCGAAACGCGTAAGTGGAAACGTTTCGTTTCGGCGAAGCCGCGGCGGTGGGATTATACTCCATATTCTTATCTTTGAAGATCTCGAGAGGTGGAGCTTTCTTCGCCTTTCCCCTTGGAAGGCTAAACAAGTGATTACGTTTACATGGCACGCTTAATCGGCTTTAATAACATCTGTAGTTGTAAAACTGGCCAATCACAGTCATTCTTCAGAGGAATAGCTATGATTGGTCAGTTTCGTAATTATATACTATGTAATTGATCATTAAATTCATCTTTTACGCATGATACTATGATCTCTCTAGATCGATTTTTCGTATATACAGCAAGGCTTTTTAAACTTGTTAATTGATTGCAAGAGAAGTTCTTGGATCTCTCTCTCTTGAGCAATCAGTAGACTTGAAAAGGCTTGCCGTACGACACAAAAAATATCGGCTTTAGGCGGATTGGAAATTCATAGAGAGGATCGAGAAGAAGAACGCGCGCATTTTCTAAGGAAGGAGATGATCTAGGTAGCCATGAGTATCCACGACCGGAAGAGAGAAGAACCGTCATGTTTGCGGGCATCAGACGCCAATATCTGGCAACCAAAGGGAGTGAATCCCTTTTATCTTGAGTGACAAAAGGGGAGAATGCGGAAAAGCGCAATTTTACGAGCTACCCGAGGGTGCGCTTCTTTTTGCGTTATCCTAAAATCACCTCCTCGCAGGCAAATACTTCATCAGGATTGTAGCAATGTGCTACAAGCGTTCGACTTGGATACCCTATTTTCGGGTTACGGCCACGTCGCAGATATACATATTATACATACATATGTATATTGTGCCAAGCTGTTACTTATATCATCAGTGAAAACTAGCAACGCAAAAAGCTTGAAGATAAAAGAACGTTTAAATCCCGGAAAAGAAAATGTACACACATTATAGAATTTACAAGATATGGGAAACTGCGATTGCGATGATAATTAAAAATTTCCTTTGATCCATTTTTAATGAACATTTTCCGAACTAATCATCACTTGATAATTTGCACTGCGCCGATTTTATATGCAAATATAATTCAAAGAATTATTAATATATATAAAAAAAACATGAACGTGATGTGACGTAAGAATTCATGGCTTTCTGTCTTCCGCGCGTTCGGTAACGGCTACTCTACGCGTCTCTACATATATCTATCGGTGTTTTCACTTTCATCGCGCTCCAATGTATAGTCGATGGTCCCGACCTCAGACTTTGTCGGTTCTCGGCTGCCAGGCGAGCAGGATGCACTAGGAGTCGAGGGGTCCATCATCGCCGGGGCGTTTCGCGCCTAATCGCTCCGGCTGGTGATATTGCGCGACTCTCGAAACGAGAGAGTCTCGCGAGAGGGTCAACAATCTCTCGACTCGCGACGACGGTCCGAACGGTCGTTGATCGGCGTTGTCGATATTCCGCAGTCGAGAAACTGACGCAAAACACTGTCGATTGCGTAAAGTCGACGGCGGATTAGGGGACTATAAACGAGCAGAAGGCGCGTCGCCGAAGCGGGATACATCGCCGCGTCATCCTTGAGAAAATTATCTGCGTCGAGACTCGCTGACGGAATATCTTTTGTTATATTGAAAAAAATCATTAAATCTTAATGCACATTTCTTTGAATAATACAAACATTTAATTAAAATAAATAAATATTTATTTAAGAAAAAATGATAGTTAAATGAAATTAATAGTTTTTATATCAAATAAATATGTGCTTGCATTTAATGAACATTTGTAATACTTCGAACTATTCAAACAAAATTATTAAAATTTATTTTTTGTTTTTTACAGTAAAAAAGCGAATATTGAATTTAACGAAGTATTATAAAGTCTAATAAATACTAACATAGAAGTTACTAATTAGAAATACGAGTAAATTAATTTGATAATTAAGATAGAGCATTTCTCTCTGTTAAAAGCAGCTCATTATTGACAAGAAATTTACAGCAAAACTGATACTACTTTAGTTAATCTTACTCAAATGAATGTTAATTATTCAGAGAATATTTAGTGGATATACAGTTTTATTTCGTTGTTATCACATTACAGTGTTGCTCATCTATACTCTATAAATAATTTCTGATATTTTTTTGATCATGTTTATTGTTCTTCAAATTTATAATATAATACTCACTGATTAAGATTATCCATCATCTTGTAATCTCCACCGGAAGTATTGACCTTCGAGATCAGACCGGGTTGCAATTTATTCATGAGCATGCAGAGCAGAACACCATCCCTCAAAGCATCTTCGTAACTCACGCCTATAAGAAGCACATATATATTACATTTTATCATTTAGAATAAATAGAATATAATCTTAGAACTAAAGAAAAATAAATGGCAGCAATTTAAAGTCTACAATTTAAATAGAAATTATTAGATATTCAATTTAGAAAATTGTTTTATCAAAGAATAATTAAATGAACTAAATTAAATGAATTAAATGATATACATATACCTCCCTCGATAAATTAAATTTTTTTATTTTATACTGTTACTTTTTTAATTCTTTGTGATAACATGAGTTCACTGCCAAAATCGAAAAGAGCAACGTTTGGCTCCTTAATATGCAGGATCGCTTTTCCAAGTGAGTGGAACTATATTTTTAAACTTAAATTAATTCAATTTCTTAACTTAACTTTTATTAAGTTAATCCTTTATTCCTTCAACTTTTAACTTAATTTTATAAATTTTATAAGCCATTAACTTTAACTTAATTTAATTTAAAAAACACATTAACTTGCCCAATTCTGAGAAGAATCCCCCCTTACCTCGCACGTCGAGACCGTAACGAGACCGAAAACGATGTAAACATGAACGAGGAAGACGAAAGTGGTCACAACACTGAGAACAAAGGCGACGACTAATAACAACAAAAACATGTTACGAGTAAGAGCGAATGACTCGTCACTTGATAGCGAGATGTCGACGAATACAGACGATTTCCTCGACGCGTTTAAAAAATTCCTCCAAGAGAAATACAATCCGACCAATCTGGGCAGGTCAAGCGGCTAAAACCAAAGTCTCCAAGTCCACAGAATCGCCAGCCACTTATTCATCGCTGCGGGAATACGTACCGACCATAGGCATGGTGCAACCCTTAGACTGGCAAGGAAGAGAAAAGCTGGCCTGGCTGACCACCCCGCCGCCTTCGCTACCATCCCCATCGATCCCTGTGGAAGTCGACCCTGGACACGTCGTCGACATCCCGCACTTGTCGCGCACGTCTCGCGTCAGTATAAAGCCCGCTCGAAGGAATCCGCTGGTATGTATATATATATATATATATATAATACATGTTCGATTTAATGGAAATGGCACCGTAAGGTGCATTAAGAAAAAGTAAACGCGCCTTTAAATTCAGGTATTTGTAATGAACATGAATTTATGAAATTTAATGTACTTTTAATAAAATTTTATGAAAAAAACATAAAATTTCATAAATTTTCATGAAAAATACATTAAATTTTATGTATATGTACACAAATATATACTTGTTAGTTATAAATACATTAAATTTAATGTAATATCATGAAATTAAGTTCAAATTGTGTAACTTAAAATTTGATGAAATTTAAGAACATCTCTAACAGTGATAGTACACTCGCGATAATGACGTTTGCACGGCTTAATTTGCCAAAATTATAACACTGATGTTGTATGAAACTGGCCAATCATAACTGTTCTTCCGAAGAATGGAATAATTATTATTGTATAATTATTATATAGTTTTATAATATTGATAATGTTATAACTTTGACGTAAACTGAGCCGTGTAAACATAATCTATATCATCTAAAAACAAGTCCCATCGCATGCTCGATGACTCTCACTTTCGTCTCCCACCAGTGAGAGAAAACTTTTGATTACGCTTATCCATATCCGCACACACATGCAGAAAAAATAAACACAAAATAGACGCAGCCTAACACAAGTCATTACTGTATCCCTCCAATTCACTATGATAGATTGACAAATGTTTACGAAAGTTGAATTCTCATGACTGTATAGTCTATCTACCAAAACGGTAGAAAATTATATAACATTTTTTTCACAGTATTCGTTTATCTTCCTTTATCTAAAACACCTCATTGTCAGTGTACTTTATTTGCATGTTGTTCATTATAAAATAATATAAAAAGAATCGTCGCGCTTATCAGCCGCATTTACATGGAGAAAGCCTCGAGAGAAAAGGAGAGCGATTTCGCCTGCGAAAAGAATGTTGATGACCACGGCGGCACCAGGATCGCAGAAACGACATCCTTCCTTCCCACGACCATCGCCGAAAACCGCGCGCGGTCCCCGGGATGCCGGGTGAGAGGAGCAAAGGCTTGCGCGATAGAGCCGAACTTTGATTTTCGCGCGGTGCGGTGCATCCGGCGGCGTTTTATCAACTCGCCACGTGCTTTCCCTGCCATCGGCCATTTTTTCGCTCGATACACCACGCGCTAAGTGGAAATGCCCCTACCACCATCCATCGCGACCCGCCCAGTCGGGGGGATCGAACGGATTCACCGCGAAATAATAACCGCGAACGACCGGGTTGGATGTGCAACCAGCGTTCGCTCATGGCGCCCCATTATGCCAAGAGGCAAGCCAAGGGGGCATGGCATTTTTTGTCACATCGGACGAAGAATCAGGAAAGGCTGGCCGCGTCTTGCCAGTGCGCACACTTTTTGCTCGCTTTGATCGGCGAACGCGACGCCAAAAGACACGACGCGTCTCGGACTCCTAGGGACGCAGCCCGCCGCAAGAGCTGTGCGTACCACGTCACTGTCATTGTGTTTTTTTGTCGTTACCTCCCGCCGCCGCCGCCACCGCCACCGCCCCCTCCCTCCCCCTACGTCAGCGATACAACTAGTGTATCGATGTATCCAATCTATCGGCGCGCGACGCTGCCGTCGGCCGCCACCTCTGCCTCCACCGTTCCCACCACCATCGCCACGGCAAATTGTATCGACGCATCCCGAAGCAACAGTTGGCATAACTCCTCCCTCCCCTCGTACGAATTTTCCAATAACCACGAGAACGGATTAATCACGTCAATGCGTTTCCCCAGTGTCTAATTTTCGTCTGTATTATATAAATTAGCTGAAGCCTTAGAAAGTACACTCTTGCGTAACGCATAATGCATAATGCATAATGCATAAGAAAATGGACCGATCAAAGTCTTTCATTTTCTCCCTTTTTATGAAGTAAAAGTTCTGATTGATTGATTTTCTTATGTCTCATAAAGATTAAGCGTTATATACTTATACAAAAAAAAAAGTCTGTGTTCCGTCTTTTATATGTGGACGGAATCGCTTTGTATTTGGAGGTCTTTCTGATTTATTGTGTCTTATCCGATAGAAACACAGAAATAATGTCGTCATGTTCGTCGCAATAATTTAGATAAGACACAATAACAAAACCTTGCAGATAACTTTGGATCTCGTGAATAACTTGCTTTAGTTTATTAAAATTTATTTACTTTAAAATATAACATAGCGAAAATTGCGAAGCAGAGACCAGAAGTAATCCGATAAAAGTACGAGCACTAGAATAAAAAGTTTCGTCATTACAGGAGTAGGTAATGTAAAATAGCGAGTAATGAGAAGAAAACTGCACGCAATTTACGATTTTGTTTTATTCCTCTGAATATGTTACGATCGCTGCATTTAGATTTACATGAGAATATCAACTAATTTCTCACATCTATGATTTCCTCTTAATGTTATGTATTTTCTATATATTACAGTTTTACATGTAACATTTACTTTCAAAGTACATTCTTGACTTTAAAGAACTCTTCAAAAAACTTGGACGAAATTTTTCTTTCTATTTATAATTCACAAAAGATTTATAAGAGAGAAGTGATTTTTACAAGACCGAATGATCATTGATTTCTTTTTATTTCCACAGAATTACAGAATCAGATTTTTACGGATTCTGTGATTCCAGCGATAAGAAAATTTCGCAAGAACGTATATTTTAATTCGAAAAATCTTGGGAATAAAAGAAACAATGACATTTTCAACGATATGCGAGAAGCAAGACATTTGCTGTTGTGACGCGATAATAGAATTTTACGTTAATTATGAAGTTTAGAGGATTTTCGGGCGCGGGAGGACACGTGCCAACTGTCTAAAAGACTACTAGCCTGATCCTGCAAGGACGACGCGTCACGTGGTTTTGGATTGGTGGGGATCGCGCTAAAACGCCTACCCCGAAATCTGCTCGCCTAGTAAGCGGCTGGTCGTACACTTGAATTCTCGATTGACGAGCTATCGACAGGCGATTGGTTCCGGATGGCCTATCACATCCTATCAATCCTGATCAACGCTAATTATTACGACGTGGAAAGCGACGTTCCACTGATTGTCGCTATCAAATTTCGATACGATCCAATTTAGTGTTTCCGAAGACGCACGTGTCATTTTTTTCTTCCCGGAGTGCTCTTTACGGCCATTTAATTAAAATTTACTTTTTCGAGATAATTTGGAAAGAGAATTGATCGGAGAGAAGAACGAGACCTGTTGCTTGTTTTGTGTAGCGCAGGCGGTTCTGTTGGTATCAGGGACATATTACGCGCTTCCGTTCGCGTTTCCGTTTTCTCCGAACCTCCCGTTTCACTTCTACACTCGAGTCTCACGTTCCTCAGGAACCTTAGGGACAACCATGGTCTCCTCATGAACGAGACGCGCACGAAGTGAACGCCAAAAAGCGAGAGACTAACTATAGTATAACATGAACAAAATGTAATTTCTATGATAAAGTCTATTTCTATGATAGAATAAAAGTTTCGCAAACGTTCTTTACAAATGTATAATACGCATCTAACGAAATTACATTCTTAGAAATCACGTATCAAATTTTATGCTTAGAGATAATTTTATTACTATAGTGACATTTTGTCTTCCATGAATTTAATTATTCAAGGCAGAATTCTAATCTGAGACATTTTTATTAAAACAGATTTGTATAAAATAGAATAGATTTCTATTAAAAGAATAGAAAAGAATAGATTTATGTAGATAGAATAGATCTATTTCTATTAAAAGATAAACTTTACACGGAGATAAACGTAAATGCATTAGAACTCTAATAAATTCTATGGAATTAACAGGTCCATATAATGATAGACGTCTATTTATATAAAATTTATTTTACTTTTCTGGTAAATGAATAATCGTCATATAAAGCCATACCATAAGATATCTTTTACATTTCGTAAAGCAAATTTTGAGAGTGTTCGGGCCTATTAATCTTGAAAATAATATAATTTATTTTACTGTAATAATTATTTAAATGAATATTTACTATAATTGTAATGTACTTTTCACCTTAAACTTCTCGTATTTTAATTTTCAAGCAAATAAAGTTTGTCATAAGAATACAAAAATATTTCAAAATAAATACTTTGATTAATCTTGCAAGGTAAAATAAATTATTTATTTTTCTCCGTGTACATTTTGCAAAAGCAAGTAATTTTAATTAACGAGAAATTTCTTTACGTTCATAGCAACAAGTATCTCACTTGTTACATGTTACCGAAGATGTGTTTCTTTTTAATCTTAAAAATTTTTCACATCCTCCAGAAATCTTCAAGAATTTCAGTTTCAGATCGAATTTAAATAATCTCAAGACACAAGGGAACTATGCAAAGTATTTCAATGCAGAGGCGATATGTATTTTTATTTCTCCACGGGTGCTGCGGGATAAATGCTGTTTGCATGCTGTACGCCTCCGCTTTTCCATGATATCCAGGCAGCATCCGGCCGGCGTCCTCTTCGACAAACAAATGCGCGGGCCGGTTGTCCCGTTGGGGGATAAACAAGCGTGACATGCTGATAGGTTCCTGGTAGTGTCGAAACGCGGTGAGATGTCGTAAACCCGAGAAGATGACAGAAAATCGATAGCAGGTCGCCTTCGCGGTCGTCCGTCGTCGCGGCATCGACGTCGTCTTTGCCAGTTTTTCTTCCCGCGAACGGTCCACACGTGATGGTGGCCTGATCGTTTTCAGACGCCGTGCGTCTTCCTGCTGTCTTCGGGAAAAAATCCCGGAACGCAACAAATATGTATCGGCGGATCGGGACTATTCCCGTGGGTGATACTATCCTGCTACGTTGACACGTCACGGTCGTCATGTTGGGAGGATTTGACGTGAAATCGATGATACGCCTCCGATGCGTCCTGTTGCCGTCCGCGGCTATCAAAAATTTTTTAACGCCATCGGTAATGAATCGTGTACCGAAAGATTTCGGTGTCTTCCCGGCCACGGGCACT